GATATGGAGCTTCTTCTGGTGCAATTAGATTCGAAATAATATTTCCAGTGGCATCACAGTGGGTGAATTTATCGATATTCATGGTGAATGTCATTGTATGCCACCGGTATTTCTGAGTTTCATATTTTCATTAGATTGAACTATGGATATAACAACTTTTTTATTCCCTGTATGATTTTAGTATCTAGCTTGATTTTTGACTTCCATTGAGATTACTCAATAACCCCAATTACAATCATTTCGAAATTTTAGGGCTTCCACAGTCTCCAACCATACTGAATTTTTTCACCATGAAAGCTTATACAAGGGGTTTATTAATGAAAACAATTGATATTTCCAACTTCAACAGCCTGTATCTCAAAAACGGAGCAAGTTAGGACCCATGAACTCTATTTGCTAGAATATCACGAGGAATCACCCCTAGAATTTAATAATGAATATGCATTATGCGAAAATAAATATGTTTTGACATCTGTTGATTTATTCACAAACAAAAATACGACTTTGTATTCACAATTTATCTAGGATCCAAACTATTTCTGAATGTTTTTCATTTGAAACATAAGACCATAGTGTTGATCCTGTAGTATTCTAGTTGAAAGGTTGGAAAAATGTAAAGCAGATTTTCGGGAAACTAACTTTTAAACCATTTTGGAGAAAAATAGAAAAAAATTTAAAATCTCAAAAACTATCAACTTTTGCATAATGCATATTAGGATTTAATTCACTTCTCACCACTTCCCCTATTACATCTCCAAAGGAATGTATCGAATTAACAGTAACCCTGTATACAGGGTGGCATTAAAATAAATGCAAGTATTTCAAACACTGAGAAAGCTCAACGTGTACTATCGAATGGCACTAAAAAAAATTTGGGATCAAAATGAAATTTGAGGATGGACCCTTTTTCCACCCAAAGTACTACACTGTAGCAAAGCTGACTTCATCTCTGTTCATTTCCATGAGGTACGCACAATCACGCGGAGCTCAATCATTCAAATTCTTTTAGAATCTCGTACTTGATTTTGTTCAATTTTTGGGATGAAATTTCTCGTTAATTAGAAGATTGAAAAAAATGATATCATGGGAATATTCCTTAGGCTGTATCATATTTAATGTGCTGATTATGTGCACTCATTTCAAAAACACCTTGTATACTTTATAGGTATTTGTACTTCCTCTGTAAAATCATCTAGCTGAAGTAATTAGGACGGTAATGTGCTTATATCCTTCTCCTAATCAGGCATTTGGGTTGCGTTAAAACTTGCTTTAAACAGTGATAATTCTCCACCGGATACTGGGAATACGAACAAAAGAGGCAGGAGGATACGAGATGATTGAATAATTATCATCTAGTTTGTGAGATGAGGAAACCGGTATGAAATTTCACAGCATCAGTGTGCCACAAACTGATTAGGATATATGATAGGAAAACAAGAATTTTTTAAACTCGAACAGTCTATACCAGGTGACACAGACTCATGGTATGCCCCCCTTTTTCTCATTTGTTTTTCTAGCTATATTTCTGAAATTTGGAACATCGAATATGCTCACTATAGAGGGCACATCATATAGGGAATATCAAGGTTGGTAGAACTGATGATAATTTGTTCATCAGTTCTATCAACCTCACTCAATGAGTGTGACAGAGAAAGACGTTTTGATATTGCGCCGTCGAACCTATTGAGCAACACTAGGACATCAACGAAATCTTCGTTCGGAGATAATTCGATTTAAAATTTTCATGATTACTACGATCTCAAATATTTTGGGCTCTAGTAAACACATCAACAGTGAAATTCTGGATACTTTCTGAACATCCTAGTATAACCCAAGTGGTGTTGACTCGAAATCGAAAAGAACTTCTGAAAAAAAATAATATGGACTGTTTTGTGATTTTTTCACCAGTTAAATTAGTGTGTTGAATAATCAGCATTTTGACAAGGATTCCCTCCTGCAGAGGAGAGTACTTTCATCTTGTTAAACACTCTTCATTGATTCAATTCGAATACATGAGGGAAATGAACCTATCACAGAAAATAAATAATTAATAGAGATCGCTAGATATTTCTCGGCCATTTCAACCATGTATGGCCCCTTGATAATGAATCATTTTTTAGTTCAATCATCGGATTCATAATAATGAATAGAGACAATAAAAATACAAAACTATTCTGAAGGCGTTTTTATCAGTTCAATAGTTTCCAGAATACTGCACACGATAAGACATGTAAAAGTATTGAAACTGGGCGATAGAGAAACATTAGGATATCTATACAGTATTGGCGTGAGAATCTCGCAGTGCTATACAGCAGGATATGGTTTCATAGCCTAGTACATTGACTCGATATAGAATTTAGAACTTCTGCAACACAAAGATCTGTTGGAAATGAAACATTCCATATTACGTCATTAGGCTTGTCTTAGTGTTTCACTAGGTGCCGATATGGTTCATAATGCTGAAACCTCAATAATCTCCAAAAGCCTCATTTTTTGGATGTCCTACTGTTGCTCTGAGGCGACGATAGAAACTTCGTAATCATTTGAAATCACTGAATCAAACCTGATATCGTTGAATTCGTCATGATAATCCTTAACCGATTATGGAATAAAATACAGGGTATTATATTTCAAAATCGAAAGTTGATGTCATTTCTAGGAAAACCGAAAGATGAAAACAAATTCCTAAAATATGAGAAAGTGCCCTTCAGGGAGCATATGCGATGTCCCTTTCGGAAATATAGGTAGCTAGAAAAACAAGGAGAAAAGCTCGACAGATTGAACGAGACTGCGAAAGGGTTTTTATCATAGGTTTTTATATATTCATTCATCAAAAGTCAGCGCCGGAAATTGATGATAACAATATATTAATAGACCATAAGCATTCAACGCGAAAGAGTCCCTTCAATCTTGTTAACGAGTTGATACAGCTAAAAATAACGTATATCGCCGTGACATGTCAAGACCTACATAGTTCGATAATGACATCAGATTTCCGATAGACGATCATTCATTTTTATATTTCCGTATATGTACCAGCAAAGGATGAATAAAAATATTGATCAATAATTATTGATTCTTCATTGCGAATCCATTAACTTTGAACTCCGAAGTGGAATTGTTATTTTGTTATTGTATTTGTAAGCAAGCAAACAAGCTATTATAGTGTTCATTCATAAAGTTGCCATGATCGAGGGCATGATACGAGAACAACTTTTGATAATAATTTATTTTGAAAATTGACTTGGGCGTTAAGCTGTGCTTCGAAAAATATGGAACATGGCGTAATTGGTCGAAGTCACGTGACTTTCGCTACATGTGAAAAATTGAATGTTTATTTGTTAGAATTTCAAAAAAGGTTACTGGGAAAAATTGTTTCTATTCCAATTCTACACAACATGTGCCTCCAATTTCAACGTTCTATTGCAACTTTCAGTTCTCGATATAATATATCGATTTCTGATTGTATATACAGGGTGTCCCTAGACCAGTGGGACAGTTGAATATCTCCTGAACCAATAGGAATTTTCAAAATATTATAATTTCACATTATATCGCATTATGAGTGCTAATTTCAGGAATGACTATATTTTATACGAGGTGCGCAAGCAAGGCTCACATGATCGAACATCAATTTTTTCAAATGGAACACCCTGAATTTCATTGCATTTTCATATTCTCCTTGAAGAGCTCAATTCACCGACCTAGCACACTTAGGGTCTAGCGCGAATGATTTCAGAATTCTGACTGAAACTGTTAATTCTACATCACCCTGTATTTGTTTCAATTAAATACGAGTGAATAGTAAATCAAAAGTTAAGATATGGACATGTAAGCCGTTTTGACCAATAATGAATAGTTTTGACACAAAAAATTCCCAAAAATGAAAAATCGCGATTTTCAACACCCTATATCTCGGAAATCATTCTTGCTAGACCCCAAGTGTGCTAGGTCGTTGAACTCAGCTCTTCAAGGAGAATATGAAAATGCAATGGAATACAGGGTGTTCCATTTGAAAAAATTGATGTTCGATTTTGTGAGCCTTTCTTGCGCCCTTCGTATAAAATATAGTAATTCCTGAAGTTAGCACTCATAATGCGATATGATGTGAAATTATAATATTCTGAAAATTCCTATTGGTTCAGAAGATATTTAATTGTCCCACTGGTCTAGGGACACCCTGTATATACATTGTGATTATAAATTATTTGAATCGTGTAATTTTTTAAGATACTCTTGAACTTTGAAATTCATTTTCTGGCGTAAGAAAAATAAGTAACTTTCATCGTTCTTGCTTTGTGGTCTTCATATGAGGTTCTATAAGGGTAACATCTATCCCTTCTAGGGGGTTGAACCAAGAGGGTTAAAACTAATCATTTGAAGTGTTCCGCATATGAAAATGAAATCGACCTGTTTTGTCGACTGGAAGGAAGATATTGAGTGTGGAAAGTTTCCAAAATGTTACCCTGTATGTAAAAAACATTGGAATGGAGATTTTATATAGAGGTTGTTACATCACCTTCACTAAATTCACATTCGGAAACATGTCTGAAAACGGGATAATTGGTACGTGGTAAAAAAAAGCATTAGTATAGGTAAAAATTCCTGGCGCAGAAGCGATCTGGAGATCCCAGATTTTGTTTTCCAGGAAAACAATTTGATGGACTATTCACAGTTTTCAACCGTCTAAGCTCTCCTAGACCAGAATGAATAATGCAAACTACTTTGTGAATAAGTTTTTATTATTTAAGAAGTATCTTCTCATCTGTTGAACTTTTTCTTTGTCCAAGTTCCATGAAAAGTTCGAAACTTAAGATTTGCATTTGAACTGACATTTTCTTGAAATGACAGCACTGAACGTGACAGAAATTAATCATTTTTCGAAATGGCAGAATCGTAAATGTTACCAATAAAGAAAAACAAATAATGATATTCAATAGATCAAAAGCAGCGATTGTCGTGAAATGGTCTATTGATATGGAACAAAATAAAAATGGGACTCACTCGGATTCGTTGTTTTCGAAGACGATCTCTCCTTTGTTCTTCTCGTACTCCTTGCCCTGTTTGGCAGTACCGTCCTCTGTCCAAAAGGGCACTACTACGCGCCCTCTTGCGCCCGAACAGCGCACTACCTGAAAACCATAACCATATTGTACATATTATACATCAAGGGACAGAAATGCAAGATTTTTTCCTAGGTGCGATTTGTAGCTCGAGGGCGAAGCCCGAGAGATACAAAGTACCGAGGAAAAAAATATCATTCTGTCCTGAGGTGTATATACTATTTTTTACGCTGGCGGAAACACAAATATCAAGAAAGAATAAAAATTCGGTCTACGTGTTTTGTCATAATTAGTAGTAGTATAGTTTGTAGAATTCGTATCTTGACAACATGCATCTTGTTCCAATCAGCACCAGACATCTTAAAGACGTACATTTTACGACTTACTTACGTCTTTACGTCCAGGGACGTATAAAGTACGTCATTAAGATGTAAATCCATGTACATCTTAAAGACGTACACGAATTTACGTCTTTAAGACGTACATTTTAGGTTGTATCCACGTCGTTCCTCCCATGTCGTATAAAAGACGTCTTAAAGACGTACATTCCAGTACGTCAATTCGACTTATAGAACAATTATGTAAGTTATTTTCTGAAGAAAAACAAAATGTCATCTCTTCACGTTTTTTATTTTCAATTGTTCAGTTTTTTCTCATTTTTGAACAAAAGTGATGTTTTTGAATTTTTTCGTCCGACATTTTGGAGCCTTCGTGTTAGATTCTCGAATTTTTACAAAAAAATCATATTCTCTGACCCCAAAAGTCCCATAGTAATCAATTTTGAATAAAATCGGACTATAATCACAAAACTTTTCCATTCAATAATAATATCACAACGAATTGTCACCGGAATTATATTCACTTGCCAAATTTCAAATCAATCGGACGATTTAAAGTGAGTCAAATTTAACTTGCACGTTTTGATTACAAACAGACACAAGGACATGTTAAACTAAGTAAAAGCTTGTTATGTGATATATAGAACAAACAGAGTAACAGAAGAAGTGAATATGGTATAAACATCGAAGTCAAGCAACAAAGAGCGCGGTCAGTACTTGAATGGGTGACCGCTTGTGTCTACCGTTTGATGAAGTCGATTATTTCCCTTTTTTTTGCTTGTCTGTACTTGTTGCTAACTTCAGTGCACAGGTGAAAATCAACTGAAACTATGTGATTTTTCCGTAATTTGAAAGATCAATTTGAGGTCATAGACCAAAAACACCTGCAAAAGACGTCTTAAAGACGTACATATTAGTGGAAAATGTACGTTTTAAAGACGTCTTAAGGACGTCTCTTGGGCGTAATATGTACGTCTTTAAGACGTACTTATGTCCCGACATGTACGTCTTAAAGACGCCTTTAAGACGTACTTTGGCTGATTGGATTGACAACCCATGGTGACAACAAATATCAAACTGAAATTTATCAAAACAGCTTTAGAAATGGTTAACGGTTATGGAATAAGAAATCAAGGAAGAACCAAAAGAAATTGCTGATACTGCTTCTGCAGTGATTCTCAACTTGCTACCGGTGAAATCTAGAAATCTGTATGATGCAGTTTATACTCGCTCCAGAGAAGGGTGTTCCGAAAAGAAAGCACAGAGCTATGCGGAAAATGTAAAGTTGGTATAAACTCCCTAGGGAGAAAATATGTCTCATTATCTCCCTAGGGAATAATACGCCACTTCTGCCCCTCTTTTGTTACCAGAGAAAGTAACTTCTACTCCCGTCGGCATAAATGGTGTTTAATGGATATAGATTTCACCAAGGAGTTAACGCACCACCAAAAAGTTGCCAAAGGTTCAGGAAACATTTTGGTCAAAAGTACTGGCCCGATTTTTTCACGTTTTTTGTTTAGAAGGACCGGTTATTTCCTTCTGAACATTGGATATGTTCCGTTAATCAACCGAAGTTACCGATACTTTCAGGGTCGGTACCAACAATTTTGACAGTGGTTATCTGCTTGTGGCTTATACAATGAGAGAAATCATTCTTTGGAATACCAAATAGTCTGGCAATGTCATCCATAGAGGGACAGATTAAAAAGCAAATCCTCTAAATATGGCAGGACACACCAGGAATGAGACAATAGAAGCTCCAAAAAAAGGAACCTTCGAAGAGGTTCGCAAAAGAGGTCTTATCCCCCAACAGGCGAGACCTCAAAATGGTAGTAGGGCTCCTAATAGGGCACAACCACCTCAATATAGGGACCTAGAGCTTATTGGGATAAGAAATCTCCTTCTCAGATGCCTAGAAGATGACTAAACGTTATCGCATATCCTCACTGAGTGCCTAGCATCGACACATCAGAGGAGGGCTATCCTTGGCAAAATAATTTTGAGGCCAGAGGACGTGAAAGAGATTCAGCTGAGCAAGCTGCTGAACTTCTCCAAGGAAGTCGGCATACCCAGCAGAATGTCAGAATATGTGGGCGCACAATGGGCCTGAATTAGAAGGCCTACGTGCAGGGGTGTTCATCCGATACCAGTGCTTCGAAGAAGATAAGAAGGAGAAGTACACTGTTTCACCACTAGCCAACCGCTGGTTAGTGGTAAAACAATGTAGTTAATTATCGTGCCAAAGGTTCCAGTCCAGAAGGAGAAGAGCAGAAAGTTCGAAGAGAAATCACCGGTTCACCTGGTCCAGGGAGGAGGGTCATGTCCTCTCCCCCCTTCCCCTGGATCCGCCCTTGAGTACTCACCTTGAGCTCGTACTGTCCCTGGCTCTCGACCAGCTCGTGGTTCTGCCTGTCGAAGCGGAAGAGGCCGCCGTGGTCGTCGTCGAGGATGAGGACGGTGGCCTTGGCGGGGGAGCCGAGGAGGCAGGCAGGGGCCTCGGGGGCGGCAGCTGATGGCCGGGCGGTACATAGGCGCACGTAGAAGTGCTCGTCCGGCTCGAACACGTCGTCATCGATCACCTCCAAAGTTATCCTTCGAGGGATGTCGAAACGTTATTATAGGGAAGTAATGGATTGAATGGGAAACATTTGTTCATACAGGGTGTCTCATAATAAGCGTGCAATACTTCACCAGCAGATTGAACGATTGGAAATATGAAAAAAAGCTTCCATAAAAATAGGTCGAACAATGTCTCATTTATAAGCGAGCTACAGCCCCTTGAAGGTGCCCAGATAGCTCACAATCGCCTAGGGTCATCCTCAATGTGTCGCCAAACGCCTAGAGAGGATGTTATGTATTCTACAACCTAAGAACATCATCAGGCGTAGATTTAGCGCCGTAATTGTCCTAGAAAAGTTATTTCAGTGACAGCCCTTGGCTGCAGCAAATTGCGTGCCTACGGATGTCTTCAGATGACATTCCATGAAATAACGTGTCGACGAAGCTAAAAGGAAGCAGAAGAAGAGCTAGAAATACTAGAAGTGAGGTTATGTCCCATGATAATATTTTTCTGAGAAATTGATAAGATAATAAGAATTACACAGGTAATTGAATAATCGAATCATTGGTAGTAGGTACTGGACATGAAATATTAAGTATATTATTTTATTCCAGGAGGTTACTGAGAACATAAACTTGATGATATCATCAGAGCAGAAATGTTTCATTCCAAGATATTTTGGCTTCTGGGAATCTATCAAATATTGTATGATGGCTTGAACTTTCAGTGGATTCAATAAAGATAGGCACCTACCTGAATCAACTCATTGATAATAGGTACTGGACATGAGATATCAATACATTATTATTTGTTCCAGGATATTATTGATGAGAACACTAACTATTTCATTTCAAGAAATTTTGAAGAAGAAGAAGAAAGAAGAAGAAATTACCTGAATCAAAATATTGATAGTATAGGTAGGTACTGGACATGAAATATTAATACATTATTTATTTCAGAAGGTTATTGAGAACACAAACTTTTGATGCTATCATCAGAGCAGACATGTTCAAATCAAAGATATTTTGGCTTCTTCCTAATCCATAAAAGATTGTATGCAGACTTCAACTTGTAAATTGAGCATCAGATAGTATGTCCAGGGTTCAGAAATCACAAATGATAACAAGAAGAGAACTCACAACAGAATTAGAACAAAACAAAAATCATCATAATGTATTATTATATGTTGATGGTGAGTTTTCTCTGAGGAAGAAAGGAACAAAGTTAGGTGGATCAAATCATAGATATTACATGGATATGCGATATTGAATCATTATTTGTTTCAGAAGGTTATGGAAAACACAAACTTGATGTCATCTATAAAATATTGTATGTAGGCTTCAACTTTCAGTAGATTCAGCATTAGGAAGCATATCCAGAGTTGAGAAATCAAAAACAACATAGAGAAATATTACCAATGGGCAATAACTTCTAATAGAGCTCAACAAGAAGCTGAGATACATATTTTCAAAACAAACCTCGAAAATCTTCACCAATGAGTTATAAATAATAGAATGTAAGTTTTTCATTTGAACATATCATTATTCCAGGGAAATTTCGCAAATATCTTGATATCCATATTTTTTCAATGAAATTTCATTTTTATCAACCTATGCCTAGATATTTTTTAATACTACCTAAAGATGTTCCCATAATGACCTATACATGTCCCAGAAGACCTTATAGGGATGTTCTAAGACGTTATTAGGATGTAGAGAACGATAACAGGAGGACGGGTTAGGGACGTCCTCAGGCTCGCCCTCGACGTCCTGAGGACATTATTGTGAACGCCTCAGAAGGGCCTCAAAAGGTGTTTGTGCTATCTGGGTGGTACCCTGAAGATGGTTTTTATATTATATCTTCGAAACTGTTGATAGCAGAATCGTGAAATTCTGCAAATCGGCCAATATTTTTATGCTCAATAATATGCGATAATGACAATTTTAAAATTTCATCATAAATAACGACCAGAGAAAGTGAGGAGCGCAATGATTCGACATAAAACCAGATAATAACGAATTATACGCTATCACCAGAGTCACATAATATAATAATGATCCAAATGTCAGCTGTTTGTGGATGAGGACGTTGAGCTTGAAACTTAAAAAAAACATTCGTATCAGTGATATGGGCATTATAACTCTCACAAAAAGGTTATATGACTTCATTCGAATGAAATAATTTTGAATATCAAACCCTCCTCAGTAACCTGAAGTACAGTTATTCTTCCACCCGACGTCGCTACTGAAAGTAGTTAAAATTTCGAACGTTAAAATGCCTTCGTTGAGTTGAAATGGAAGTTACGTTAATGTAATGATAAATGGAACATAAAGGTCACCTTAATACGATGAAATTTGTGTAACGTAAAAATGCTTTTGTTATGTTGAAGGACATTGAACGTTACTGGTAGGAACTGGATACTCCATTGTGTCCTATATCATAACGTAACATGTTATCAAGGTTACAAGAATATGATGGAACTGGCATGATTTTTTGCTCAGTTGGAAAAATTCAATGTTTGTCGTGGCATATAGCCAGGAATGTAGTTATTTTGTGTTGAATAAACCGGGAGAGAATTGATATTCTCATTACATAGAGAATGCGAATTCCCAATTTATTCCTTTATATATTTATATCCATTTTTTTCATGTTCATAATTTATCTGAGAATATTTCTCTTCAATACTAAAAACTGAGATTAACTCAATAACTTTTTTCCTTCAATTGACTCGGACCAAAATCCAAAAAAAGAATACTGTCTATCAAATAACCGTTGTATCCGTTGTTGACTGCAATCTGTTTCATGATATTGAGTTCTTTATTAAAAACAATTTCTGAAGTTATTCACATGAATCCAATATCAACACTAACTTCTTTTCCTTGTCGCCCGGCTGGAAATGCAACCACCCCTCGCTCCTCACGTAGTCGCTGTCCGCCACCGCCGAGCCGTCCTCCGTCCTGTACTCGACGTCGACGGCGCCCTCGACGTCGCCCTCCCTCACGACGCTCACCTCGAAGCGGCCGCAGCTCTCCATCACCGCGTACTTGGCCGGCGAGAAGAAGACGCGGCACGCGGCCGGATCGCAGTTGACGGTGATTGTGCAGTCGCCGGCGGACTCGCGGCGCAGCTCTTCTTTGATCTCGCTCAGGTCGCTCTGCGCGCGTTCCGATATCCTGGTGGGAAAAGCCGTTACCACCGATAAAACAAGGCCAGCAGACTCTGACGTAAACAGCTCGTGACGTCGCATACTCAGGCCATCTTCCAAGGCATTCGCGTCGATCGATCGTCAGTTTGTTTTTGTTTAAGAACGGTGGCGTAGGTAAATCGCGTGTGCTCGAATTCTCTTGTTGTTTATTCATCAAAATAATTGGCGGAGAAATTACTGTTTTGTGAAATATTTCGTGTTGTGCGAAATAACAATGCCTTACAAGTGTTGTGTTACCTTTTGTCGGGGGAATTATGTGGGTGGTCCAAAAGTTCATGCTCGTAGTTTCCCGTTGGACAAGGAACTATCGAAAAAGTGGGTACATGCAATTCACCGCAAGGATTTTACGACTCCATCTAAGTACAGTAAAGTATGTGAATTACATTTTACTAAAGATGATATTATCACTTCATCTACTGCAACCGATTCAAAAACTGGCAAAACTGTAACAATAGATTCGAAAATTCCTAGGCTCAAACGAGATGTTATTCCCACTCAATTTCCCAACTGTCCATCTTATTTATCGAAAGATGTAAAATTACGCACAAGTCGTGATGGAAAACTTGAGATACTAGAGACTAAAAATTTGGCACATGCACTTACCAAAAGTAAAACTGAATTCGAAAATTACCAAAAATCATTTTGCTACACAGAATTTCAAGAATTTCTAGTTGTATTAGAGTCTTTTCAGTTGCCCGAAAAGTGGTTCAAAATTATCGATTTGCAAAAAGTCACATTATTCAAATTGTCTTATTCTCCAGGGCCCGTAATTACATATTCGGTTATGATTGATTTTGTTTTGAATGTGGAATCATTTTTGTATGACCTAGCGATACAAACATCTCTTAAAGCCAATCTGAAAACACCTTTTATCTCTAATAATATCAATCAAGTCAAGAAATTACTAATTGAAATAGATGAAAACGAGATACATAATTCGGGAAACATATTTCGAATGCATTGGACTCTTTGGTTTCTGACTCGGTTTCAGATCTTGATGAAGATTCCGAAAACACTTCAGCTTTATTGTTCCTCTCTGAGCAAATTAAATTACATACATCCTGCAAAGAACGATATCGTGTTTCGAATAATACTATAATTTTAGCCTCTATAATTCATACAATAAGTCCACATGCTTATAAATTTTTAAGACATTTTGGAGTACTCATATTACCTCATTCAGGTACAGTCAAATCGATATGTAGTTCGTTGTTAACAGATCCTACATTCGAAGAAAGACAAATGTCGTTATCTCATGCAGAAAATGTATTTAAGTTATTAGGTGAGCGTGAAAAATATGTCATTTTAATGATGGATGAAGTTAATATAAAGCCATATTTAGATTACAAGGCAGGCAATATTGTAGGAACGGCATTTAATAATTCACGTTTAGCAAATTCCGCATTTGTCTTCATGATAGCAAGCGTTATGTCAAATGTGAAAGAAGTTGTTCATATAAGTCCAACATCAAGAATAGATCACCTCATGATTTTTTCTTTAATAAAGAGAGTCATAAATAGATCAATCTCACGATAAGTTCATGTTCTGCGGGCCCTGTATAAGTAGGTGTGAAGTTTACCTTCACCACAATTTTTGCCAATATATTTATTCGAATGGGTTGCTGTAGGTGGATATTTGTGTTTTATCCTGGTTTTTGCTTTGAAACTTCGTTTTTCCATAATAAAATCGAATGGGATGCGAAGAAGGGCTCAGTTGACGGCTGGCATCCTCTTTCAACCGGAAGCCCTTAAAAAAAAAAGCAAAATCGGCTCAATAATGATCTAAAACTAAAATCGAAATACGCGGTCGCCTTATAGCGCTATAAGCGCTTGTCGTTTGGAGCCGCTGGTTAGGCCTGACTAAGTGACGTCACCCACAGAGCATGCAGGCCTTGTTTTATCGGTGGTAACGAAAAAGCTCCTAGGTATTCAAGTGTCAGAAACATTGAGCAACGTGGTGACCCTGTAATTGGCGACAGTTGACTGAGCAAGTTGCCTCAGCCACATCGAGACAATAAGGCCAGAGCTCGTGACGTCAAGTAAGAGAGGCCATGCACATATTCTATGGCGTGTCGATTCGTAATAACCGTTGCCAGACCTACTATTTTAACAGTTAATCTACTGTTTTCGTATCCGTTCTACCGTTTAAGGCAATAATCTGAACGGTCATGTTTTGATATGACATAACTACCTAATATGTAGCAATAAATATTCAATGGGGCATCACAGTAAGAAGATGTATGATCAAAATATACTGGAATTATTAAATTCAACAACTTTTTTTTTAGATTTTATTTTTTTTATTTTTTGTTCTATATTAATAGCATTATTTTTTTTTAGTTTATTATAACGGTTTCTATGTTTTTTTCATTTATAATAGCAAATTGTGATGATTATTGGAATCTACTGTTCAGTTTTGATGATCTACTGGTTTTTCCTCACCCATTTACTGCTCCGGCAAATTTTCATCTGGTAACACTGCTCGTAGTCAGTTCGATCAGGTTTGGAAAACGGTCGCGTCCTGAATTCTTTTGTTGTTTTTTCATCAAAATAATTTGCGGAAAAATCACTTTTTTTGTGAAATATTTTGTGTTGTGATGGGCGAAATAACAATGCCTTTCAAGTATTGTATTCCCTTTTGTCGGGGGAATTATGTGGGTGTTCCAAAAGTTCATGCTTTTAGTTTCCCGTTGGACAAGGAACTATAGAAAAAGTGGGTATACTTTATGCAATTCACCGCCGCTCCATCTAAGTACAGTGTACCTAGTAAACAGAGCTTAATTTAAAAGTATGTGTAGAGGAAAAAGAGAAAAGCTTTGATTGTGCAGTTAGTTTTGTATTCGTATATTATATTCAACAAAATCATCTCTGAATTCGAGGAAATTTTCTCGAATGTTCATAATAAACGGTCATTTGCCTCGTGGCAATGAATGCAGAATTCATTCCAATGATCAAATTGCAACTATCATATTGACATGTACTACAAACACTCTACTTGAAAAGGTAAAACTGCATTTATCATGCGATGAGTTGTTCACATTTTCATTATCAAATACGTGTTTTTCAGACAAAAATTCGTAAGTACCAAAAAATATTTTCGAAAAAAAAACCATCGCATGATAAATGCAGTTTTACCCTTAAAAATTACTGTTTCGAGTCTAAAGATCAATTGGGTAAAAAAGGGCATGTCTATCAAAATATAATACATTTTCCACAATTTTCTTTCGATCAATCTCACGATACCTTTATGTTGTGCGGGCCCTGTATAAGAAGGTGTAAAGTTTACCTTCACCACAATTTTTGCCAATGTTTATTTATTTATTTATTTATTTATTTATTTATTTATTTATTTATTTATTTATTTATTTATCAGAAACATACAGGTTACCCTAATTACATGTTTCTGCTTCTTACATATTTGAATCAGAATACAACATAACACTATTAGGTACTAATGGAATGAGAGGGGTTTGGTACAAAGACAATATTATTGTTCGGTTTCAATTTCAATAACGGCTCTTCTGAATGATCGAAAACTTGACATGAATAGATCCAGATCATATTCGAGAATGTATTGATTGTATAATCGGCAAATGGAATCTAGAGCATTTGTGGTGTTGATCAGAAATGTAAGGAGTCTGGGACGCGTCCGATAATTGGGTACATATAAATTTATCTGATGTAGGAGTTCAGGTGAGTCTACAAGATTATTCATCAATTTATAGAGAAAAAGAAGACCGCGGTGGATTCTCCTGTACTCTAATTTTGTGATTTTCAGTTCAAGCCTTAACGGATGATATGAAATAAATCCAGGGCTGGGCTTGTATTTTTTGTAATATAATATACTTGAGAAATTTATTTTGAAGTGTCTCTATTTGTTTGACATTTCCTTTGTTGAGATAGTTATTCCAAATCAAACATCCGAATATATTCAATTCGAATGGGTTACTGTAGGTGGGTATTTGTGTTTTATTCTGGTTTTTGCTTTGAAACCTCGTTTTTCCATAATAAAATCGAATGGGATGCAAAGAAGGGCTCAGTTGACGACTGGCATCCTTTTTCAACCGGAAGCCCTTCAAAAAAACAGCAAAATCGGCTCAATAATGATCTAAAACTAAAATTGAAATACGCGGTCGCCTTATAGCGCCATAAGCGCTTTCGTTTTGAGCCGCTGGTTAGGCCTCACTAAGGTGACATCACCACGGAGCATGCAGGCCTCTATGGTAACGCCTCAGCTCGCTCTCTTGCTACCCTCCATGTCTAATCTTGCTCGTTTTCACTCTGGCTATAGTGGCTAGTAGGCCACACAAATTAGGCGCAATATGGATTCATATTTGTTCTCAAGCAATAAATTCAATCTTTTAGCATTTGATTGGAAATAAGGAACCCAGGAATCAGCTATTTCTTCAGGTTAATTTGCTACTCTTATCTTTAACTAGCTCATTTCATGTTCCATTGAAACTCATTTTGAAGACCGAATACTTGTATAGTGCGGAAAAATACGATCTAGATTGTTTCTTAATGCTTGAATGATCTAAAGAGGACATCCTATTTTCTTCATCCTAATAACGATATCAGGTTGCAATTTTTCACAATATAATATAAGTTATTTTGCCGGAAATATTCGGCGATTCTTTGGAGAGAACAGATCTCCAAAGTGACCACGAAGGGGTGCGAAGCCTAAACTCGACGGGTTAATCTCGCGGGGACTGCCAAGGGAGGAACAATTGTTGATATTTCAGAAGAGCATCGTCCATGAAAATATCTATGAAATGGTGCCAGATCACGGTGTCCAGAGGAGTGAGCGGGTTTGTGAGCGAGGCATCACCCACGAGACGAATTGCCTTTTTTTGGGCAGAATCCAACAGTTTCAGGGTATGTTTGGGTGCTGCACTCCAAATATGGGAATAGTATTCTAGGACAGGTCGGACCTGTGCCTTATAGATTATAAGCAGCTAACTGGAAGTGA